TAGATTAGGCAGACTGAGCTAAATAGTTACTAGTAAACTGAAGACAAATATTCAAAGAATATTTATTGAAAATTTAGCACTGAAAATAATAGAAGTGAGGACAACAGTCAGGCAGAATTTGAAAAGAAGGTTTAGAATGAGAATCAGTAAAAAGAGGATTTAGTTTCTAGAACTGATGAAAAACAAGATTGTACAGAATAGAGAAAACCTATTTCCATGCAGGAAAATAATCTGGGTACACTTAGTTCAATATAGTGAGACTGCAGCTCATCAACCTTAAAGACATTTTTTTTTAAATGTAAGCATTTTATTGTAAATATATCTCAAAAGGAGGATAAATTCATCAAAACACATTAGTACATTTCATGTATACCTTGAATCTTTATTAAAGACATTTTAGAAGGAATAGAAAGAATGAAAACCAGTAAGTACAAATCAATTAACAGTGAGATTCTCATCAGCTACAAAAAAAAAAGTAACAAAAAAATGATATAATTATCTCTTATAAAACCTCATTGAAAGAACTATTCAATGATAATATTCAGGAAGAACAAAATTGAATCTAGGAGAGGAATTTAAGATGTTCAAAGAATTTGGTAAACGCTTGGGTAATCTAAGCAAATCTAAATATATATGAGGCAGTACTAATTTTCATGACTAAAACACTGTGCATTTAGTTATGAAAAACGTATGACAGGAGAAAATGATGATGAGCACATTGATTGTGAAAGGACAGAAATACTGAACACTCTTATAAATTTTTGTTACCATGCATGTTAAAAACTTAAATATTAAGTAAAAACATATTTTTAATAATTATTAGTACTTAACTATATTGTCATGCATTATAAGATGGTATAAGCAGTTATTAGTGATTAAATTATATGCTATAGTTTCTAATCTATATAGAGTGTACTTTATACTCTAGCAGAAGTAATAAAAGGCACTAAATAAAATTTAATAAAAAGTGGTAAATAAGAAAAAAAACTTACTTTTTCTTACAAAGATGCTCTAATACCAATTAAGAAAGTCTAGATTATTGACTTTAAAATATTAGAGTCTAGGGCTACTATAGAAAAATCATTTTGTTTTAATTATTACTGCATCTATAAGTTCAATCAACTATATTACTAATGTTCAGTGATTAAATTGTGGATTACATAGTCTGAACATTCACTTCTGGCAAATACAAAAACACAGAGAGCACAAAATAATTTCATCTTTACAAAACACCACCTAAAATTTATTTCATCAGGGAAATAACATGAGATTGATTTAAAGTATACATGTGTACCATGTCAAAACTTTTCAGAAGATTGAATTGTTTGATCAATTAAATGGCATTTGATAGAAAATTTTCTTGCATAAATAAAATTCCCAGAATTTTCTCCAGTATTTTTAGTAAAGGATAATCTGTGCAAACATACAAATGAATAAAAAATGTTAAATTGATATTGTTCATTGACGCATGAAAATGAGAGCAAACTTTTAAAATTGAAGGGGAAAAGCACATAAAAATACATGAGTATTAGAAACTTATCTCCCTTTCTGTCTCGATTTACCAGTTTGTTAAAAGGAAAGACAAATGACATTGGAAAAGAAATTATTACCTCAAGAACATAATAAAAATCATGTATTTTGGTGTCTTGGACAGAGTAATATTAATAGATGATATTCTTATATGTGGGTTATATTAAGCTAATAAGGACAAAACATGTTAGGCAATAATTTTATGACTCAAAAAGATATTAACGGGGCCTCCCTGGTGGCGCAAGGGGTTAAGACACAACCATAAAGCTATTTTAAGCCACTGTAGCAAGAGTTCTATCCTCAGCCAGGGAGCAACCCACTTGGCGCAGCAGACCTCTCCTGACCTGCCCACTGCTCCCCTCAACAGTGTATTTTGGTCGATCCTGTTCTGTTCCCCATTCTGGCTCTGGTGAATCCTCTCATCCCCCACACCTCTGGCTTGTACCCCAGTTCTTGCATGCATAAATAAATAAATCTTTTAAAAAAGATATTAACAGGCTAGAAACAATGAAATTCCTTAAAAATGTAAAGTCTAATAATGAGATATTCACAAATACCTACACTAAACTCCAAAATACCCAAACCAAAGGAAAATAATGGTAGTAATGGTGATATGCTTACAGTGACAATATTGACAATATTGATTCAGCACTATTTTTGCTTATTAGGTTTTGTAAAGACTCAGTGTTCTGTGAGGAAAACAGTTGGAGTCAGTGACAATGTTAAACTTATTCTGTGTTCTCTCAAGTGCTATTGTTTTGCACATTAATCACAACCTGATTGAAATGCTAAGAATTCAGATATTTCTTCATTCTGTATTCCTTCACTCCTCAATACCAATGAATTATTAGTATTAGTATTTAGTATTAATGAAATACTTATTTTTATTGGTATTCCCTCAATAAATTCCCTCAATAAATATTTATTTAGCAACTATTAGGTTAGATCACCAATTTAGATATTGAAGATAGAATGTTTTGAAAAGGAGATTTGATCCTTATCCTCAGGGGACTTACAGCCCAACAGCAGTCCTTTTTTAACTTTCCTGTACTGCACTTCAGAACTGACCATCCACAAGGCTGGCAGGAAGAGACATATTACAGATCCATGTCCTTCAGTTAAACTCTGAACGTACTCTGTAGCCATGGTTCCATCCTTAATAAGAGAGCCATTACCCATATCCATCAGGGAAAATGTTTTTATGAAAGCATTGATCCTCAAAATATAGTTTAACAATCATTGGCTGCTTTAAGAAAATGCTAAGTTTCCTAGATATTATCTACTAAGATTGTGAACATCTGTCATGGGTATAGAAATCTGTCTTTTGATTGATACCATAGTGAATTCTGATGAAGAATTGACTTTAAAGCTAATGAAAGTCTTTTTAATGGATGTTTCCAAAACTTTAGGAGAGACTGGAATAGGGGCAGGGAATTCCAGGTTTTGTTTTTTGTTGTTTTTTTTTTTTTAAAGATTTGTTTATTTATTTGTTTATACAAGCACTGGGTACAGTCAGAAGCGCGGGAGGGTGAGAGAATTCACCAGAGCCAGAGCGGGGAGCAGAGCAGGCAGAAGGACCGAAGTACACTGCTGAGGGGAGTATCGGGTGGCAGGAGAGGTCTGCGCACCATGCGGGACCCTCCTCTGATGGCCGGGGAGCAGCCGGGGATTGAACCAGTGCTGCAGAGGCAATGGGCAGCTTCGCAACCTGGCGCTCAACCGCTGCACCACCGGGGAGGCCCAAATTCCAGGTTTTCTGAGCCCAAATTATATGTAATTTAGTGGACCCTTATTTAAAGAAAAATTCCCACTTCAAAATCATTGAAGTCTGTGCAAGGATCTCAGTTTCCCATAGTTCTAAAAGTGAGACTGGGGAGAACAGAGCAACTAGGAAAAGTCTCTGTGTTTTCAGAAGTGAAGTAGAATTTTTGCTTTTAATATTGGTATTATTTACATGTATTGAGGCCTAGTTTTAGGTCCCTGAGCTGCACATCTGTTGAAAACCACTTTACCTAGCTAGTGGTAATTAAGTAAGGAAAATAGGGAGAAAGAACACCTATTAGTCAGATGCTGTTTCATCTTTATGTCTGTAATGAAAGATGGAAAGCCATGGCTGTTAGTAAAGAGCCTTCCATTAATCAAAGAAAGATGGTGGATAAAATGTAGTGTAATCCAACACCATCAAGTGTCTGTAGTATGTGTGCTTTTTGTAACCTTTCAGCACTTACTGCAGCGAGTCAGTGGTAGATGAATGATAGCACCAGGAGGAATTTTGAAACGAGCATTCAGGGAAGTTCACTAGTGAATGAATAGCATCTTTCCAGAGGCACACTCCTGCTATCTAAGAATGTAAAAGAAATGGTTTGTGGCTGCTGTTCCCTGCTCCGCTGATGATTGCTCAACAGGGAGTAGCTACTCTCTCCAGTGTTAACAGAGGAGTACAAACTACATTGTGGAACTCATTAATATTTATTCCTTCTAAAAGCAATGGGCAATAAAAAGGGAAATAAACCAGCAGAATAGCAATGGGAAAAGAAAACCATAACAACAGATATATCTTTGTAAAGTTCCACCATTTATTGGATTCCAGAAAATATGTTCGAAATAAAGAATCCATATTATTAGTCCTGAATCCACTAAAAATACCTCTTATCAGATAAACTAATTTATGGGGAAAAATGCATATTGAAAATAATTCAAGAATTCAAAGTAACTATACATATCCTAATAATTATATGCATTTTTGATGTACCTCTTTATAATTTCACATTTTCAATACTCAGCCAGCCTACATGTCCTCAGTCAGTCTGTCCTGCACTTGGTTTATGGATAAGAACCTTCTCCATATTAAGAATCACCTACCCTGGGAGTGCAAACTGGTCCAACCATTATGGAGAGCTGTGTGGAGATTTCTGGACCTACTAAACATAGAGCTTCCATATGATCCAGCAATTCCACTCCTAGGTATTTACCCAAAGGACACAGAAACATCAATTCCAAAGAGCACCTGCACTCCTATGTTTATAGCAGCACTGTTTACAATAGCTAAGCTTTGGAAACAACCCAAATGCCCAAAAATAGATGACTGGATCAAGAAGATGTGGTACATATATACCATGGAATATTACTCAGCATTCAAAAAAGATAAACACATGCAATTTGCAGCAACATGGATGGCACTGGAAGGGATCATGCTCAGCGAAATAAGCCAAAAAGAAAAAGAAAAATACCGGATGGTCTCACTCATAGCAGGAATCTAGAAAACTTAAATAAGGGACCAGGAAAATGAATATAAGAAAGTGAAAATCAAAATCAACAAAAAACTATGAACCAGAGACACTTTTTGGGGGGTGGGGGGCGGGAGGGGAAGGATTGGGGTCAGAATGGGGCGTTTGCAATTGTATGGGGGAATATAAAAATAAAATTTAATATTTAAAAAAAAAAAAAAAAAAAAAAAAAGAATCACCTACCCATTACAGCAGAGACCAGAGACATGTCAGTCTTTCTTCCTACTGCTCCTTTATTTTTCATCTTGAAATATCTTCACCATTGTCTCTCCAGATAGCTCTTCCTATTTCAAATAATCTTTTTGTTTCATAAGACGTCAATAATCTTTCTTCATACAAAGTCTATACCCTTCTTATACCGTTATATACCATTTACCATTTGAGTCTAAATTTTTACAATTGTCTCATGAGTATTCAAGACAACTTCCCAAGATTTTAAGTTTCTGAGAGAGGGCAAAGTGTTTTCTTCACTCCCACACCCATTCCCAACCTCCTCCCCTAGTAGAATAGTATAATCTATTATTCTTTAGCAGAGATCTAGATACATTTGCTAATTTTATCCTTTAGAAATATCTTTAGGAATGACAGAGAAACACTTCAGTTAAAGGGTATTGATTTTTGTAATGTTTCCTTTCACATTAATGGATATTTCACTGACTTCATTCTTTTTCCTCCTTTGCCTGTCTTTCCTCTGCAAAAGTTTAATGAGATAATATGTATAATACACATCCTGGCGTAGAACTATGCACTTATTATATGTCAAATGACATATCATTATTTATGGGTTTGCTTCTCTGGTTAAGAAAAAGAGAGAATTTTTTTTTTAGATAACTGTCTCAAACCCTTTTGCATATAGTAAAGGTGTAATTGTATACTGGCCTTTCTGTTTGGGAAACATAACAAAATGTATAATTCATGGAGTCTTTTTAAAATATGTCCTGAAATTCTGCTGTGTCCTTACATTATATATGAAATTGCATCTTTCTTGAAAAAAAGTAAGTAAAACCTTTTCCAAAGCTTTTATTTTGTGTTATTCCAGAGTAAAAAGAAATAAAACTAATATTACTTCTATAGTTATGGGAGGCAAAGTAATTGCAGCTTGTCTTACTTTGTGACTCTAAATTTTTGAGAAGTCGGAGCCTCATTCCATTACCAAGGATTTCTGAAAGAAATGTTTGCAATAATTCTGGGATTGCTTGGTTGCTCTAAAAAGAACACTTTCAGCATTTTTCAACCTGAACGTGGTCACAATGGTCTGCTTTCCTTTTCCATTACACAGAATTTCTGGGTGCCTGAAACCATGTAGGTTTGGCAGCATTACACCTAGTAGATCTTTGCTCTTGTCAAAATTATAATAATGAATTTACTCAGAAAAAAGAATATTTAGAAAAGAGTATTGTTGCTTTTCATATTCACAACTAGATTTGGTTAAAAAGCTTTGCCCAAATTAAGCTCCTACTCCTCTCCTTAAGAATTTCCAGAAATACTATAAAAAGGAAGTCACACTTTTCACTAGGAAAGCCTTTGATATATTTCCCTGTCTTCCAAAAATCCATAGCAAAGGGGGTAAGCAAAGAAACTAACATGTAGTGCTAGATAGTATTTTCCTGTTAGTAAATGGGTGTAATTTTCCCAGATATACTGTGGCAGTAAGCGACAGAAACAATGGACCCAAAGTCAGTTCTTTGACTCCAAATTCTTTGTGGTAATACTCCCTGCCTTGTGAATTTGCTTCAGACTAAATGCATTGACTTTTTAAGTAGCTGTCCATGACTTTATCAACATCTCCAAAAGTAACTACATTATATTAAAAGGTCTGATTAAAATGTTAAAAAAAATAAACAAAATGGCAGAAATCTACCTTTTATAACAGAAAATAGAAGGAATACTAAGCAAAAATTAAACCTTTTATAGGATTAAACTCAATTCAGTTCACTCATGCACTGAGGTATTTCTAAGGTCAGTGTAGGAGCTTTCCCCTGGTTATTTGAATCAGTATTATTTGAACCATAAGAAATTGCTGATTCTGCTGGTCAAGAATACATGATTAATGGCAATTTAATATGGTTCAACTGAATAGGTTCCTCTTCTGCATTGTTTGGCATAACATGGTATGAACTACTCTCCATCCCAGACTTTGCTTTGTCAAAAATCAACCCCTTAACTACTGGCTTTGAACTGTAGTCAATTATCACATGAACAACATGCATTTGTGCTATATGTGGTATGCTCTACAGAGGGCACTGATTGTCTTCTGTAGAAATGTGTAAGTTTCCCCATAGTTGATATTCTTTATGGGAGGATAGCTTATATTGATGGCTTAAGAGTGACTTGAGTTCATCAAGCAGTTTTTATTCTACACAGTTAGAAATCTACATTCAATGAGGTGATTTTTAGTATTTGCTATGTCCTATTTTGTTTTATGTAATTACATGTAATAAAGGGAGATAAAATAATGTTAAGTATAAGGATGAGGAATGTGGGGCCAAGGAAAAATGCTAACAGAAAGACAATATCAAGCCAATAGTGAATATAAGAAAGAAAATGTGTTAAGATCCTGTGTATTGAAGTAGAACAAGTTTTGGTTCTAAATTTGTTATAGGCAATGAAAAAAGAAATAGTGCATCATCTGAGAAATTCAGTGTCCATTAAAAAATAGAAACAAGTTGAAAAGCACAATAATTTCTGGGTTTAGATCATAAAGAAAACTCACCCATGGACCTTCATAAAGAGGACACTATTCTGAACCTCAACCTCACTAACATCTATATAATACACACCATGAATTTTATAAGGAAGATTTGTCTTTAAGCAATTTTCCTTACTGTAGGCCACTTTCACTACATGAAAGTATTCCTCAGGAAAGGCAAAAACAGTTTGGGTTAATGTGAAATGGTTAAGATTTATAAGGATAGAGTTCAGAATATCTGAACGAATGGATATACAGCTGTTCCCTCAGGCATTCCTCCTTAGAGCTCTGAGTGGCAGAGAGTTCCCTTACACCCCTTGACATAAGGATCTGGAGTATTTCTATTCTTGTTACTTCTTAGGTGCAGTAAAATGCAGAGACACATTTTCTAGCCATTGTCTAGATGAGGATAGGATTAGCATCTGTAAGTGAAAATTGAAAGGCTTGACAAAGACATAAGCTTGAATAAAACATTCCCCATTTTTAGCAGAGGGATAAGTCCAGTTCTCACCAGATACAGGGAAAAGAAAAAGTTTAAGTACAGATAAGGGAAAATCAGAGGTACTTGAATCGGTTTCATAGCTCATAACCTGTAGCAAAATCTGAAACAGATGCGTGGTATACCCAGCTTCAATAATAATGCCATGTCTTAAGGAAGCAATTTATGATTTCCAGTATAAATCTATGGAACTAAGTGAATTAAATTGAAATAATATGATAATGATGTAAAGGATTAGGGAGATGATAGATTTTACTGTATGTATGACTCTGCTCTGTTTTACATTTATTTGCTTGTTAGACCTGTACTACAAATCTGCAAGGTAAGGACTATTATTATATTACAGAGGGGTTAAATAATTTTCCCAAGACAGATAACTAGTAAATACTCAGGATAGTAACACAAAGAAGTCTAGCTCCCGAATCTGTGATCCTAACCACTAGACCCTGGAGTTGGGTTTATTAATTGTTAGCCAGTGTGATGTTGGGGAAAAGTTACATCCCCTCTAAATTAGATTGGTTTTAGAATACTTTATTTTAAATAGTATTTAAGTCTGAGAGCCTAATGTATATTTATTCCTACTTAATAGCAACATAACTATGCAATTATGATAATTTCTATGTTTCTATTTTCTGTGGCAGGAAACCAATCATAATTTCTTCAATCAATATTTACTGACACAGAAGGCACTCAGTAAATATTGGTTGAATAAATGCTGAAAGCAGAGAAGTGAACAAGACAAACAAGAATAAATGCTGAAAGTAGACAAGTGAGCAATACAAATAAGAGTCCTATCATCACAAAATTTATATTTTAATGGAAAGAGAGGCTATAAGAAAAAAAATTATCAGCAATAAGTACTATGCAGAGGCTTAAATTGGATGATGTTAGAATGACTGGATGGTAATATGATTTGGGCCACCAGGTTTTTGTCTGGCTTCCAAAATTTGTATGTCTAGCCCAAAATTCTTATCTGAGGAACAAAGTCATCTCTTGTTCTTTCTGTCTCCAATCATAGCACTCAGGAGTACTTGTCTCCCCTCTGCTTACTCTTATAATGGAAGAGTAAACCAAAATTTTAAAACAACAACGGAGGGCACCCATTTGAATAGTAAGCTCTGAGGTCTGTTGAAGTGTTTTTAAAATCCCCTAAACTACTGAGAAGGGAAAAATAATTTTCTGAATAGATGACTTATAATAAATGTTCAGTAAATATTTGTTGAATAAATGTATAAATTGACTCAGTAATGACCCCCAAGGGTTAATATATGTGATTACCAAATAATTGTTAATCTGTTATTCTGATTGAGGGGTAAGTGTTCTCAGACATGTATATTTAAACTATATCATGAAACCTATTAAGTAAATATTTTAAATCTTCAGAAAAGCAAACAAATTGTTAGGCTGCTTCTCCCAGCCATAATTAAGTAACTAGTACTGTCTCAATAAGAATAACGATAAAATTAAACAAAATTTGTAAGGCAACTGTTTATAGATGTTTAAAGAAAATAGCAGAAGATCATGATCATATTTGTGAGATAGTCAGCTCTGATTTCCCCTAAAGGGTATTTGTCAACATAAAGTAATGAAGACAAGCATAGTATCAGGCTGCACTGAGGAATCAGAAATCTAAGTTCCAAGCTTCTGGCATGACTGAAAATCTCAAGGTAGGGTACAGAGAAAAGAATCTGCATTGTCCAGGAATCCATGTGGAGATACACCAAGAGTTCTTGGCTCAGGACTGCACTGCACATGCATGGACTGACACTCCTTGAAATCTAGCAGAGTTCCTCTGCTGCAAGGCTTAGTGCTGAAAGGTAGTAGATAGTGTAGGTGGTGCAGTGCTGGATAGCAGATGTTGTAGTTCCAAACCTGCAATGATGAAGAATACTTGCTAAGAGTCTCAGGCCCCAGAAAGACCATGGTTTAGGAGTAAAGATTACCCTGGCACATTCAAATTCAAATATGAACCAGACAGGGCTTAATCCAAATGAAACCAAATCAGAAAGGATCAAGAGGATCTGTCAACAATTTAATAGGCAGAACAAAATTTATAAAGGACGATAGTATAATTCAGACTCTCTACAATGTATCATTCATAAAATAACAATAAAAAAAATTACTCCACATGCAAAAAGGTAAAATAAAGAGACTCAATATCAAAATTCAATCAGTAGAAAAATACCTTGAGATGATCCAGATAGTAGTATTATCAAAAAAAGAAATGTATTCATATGTTCAAGGATGTAAACAAAAAACTTATTTAGGACAATGAACAGATGGGTCTATGAAGAGAAAAATAGATATAAACATCGAAATTTTAGAATATAAAATATCTGCAATTAAAAAATTCAGAGTGGACTTAACAAATGGAGATTTCGCCAAAAAAAAAAATCTTGAAGACAAATCTTTAATCTTGAAGACAAATCAATATAAATTGTTGAATCTCAATAGAAGAAAGTGTTATTGATCTTGAAGATGAATCAATAGAAATTTTCTGATCTGAAAACAGACAAAAAAGATTAAAAGGGTAAAAGTGAACAGTGTCTAGTGACTGATGAAATATTATCTAAGTTTCTATGTATGGAAGATATTATAGAGAGAAGTGAGAGAATAAACTAACAGAAAATGTATCTGAAGAAACAATGGTCAAAAAGTTCTCAAATTTTTGAAAAAGTTACCATTACCTTGGCGGATCTTGGGAGTTCAGCAAACTTCAAGCAGGATAAGTACAAACACAACAGCAAAAAATATATTACACTCTAATTGCTTTACTATTAAGTAAGTTCATTGCAAGTATGTTAAAGCAGGAAAAATGGAAAATTCTTTATTGAACAATAAGAATCTAGTTTAACATATGATGGCATGTACAAACTGCTGGAAACCGAAGATAGAGAAAATTCTTAAAGTGACCCCACCCAGGAAAAAACACATGATATGTACATGTGAATAATTATAACAAATGAGAACAGAAAAATAATCAGAGACGATGATGGCCATAAGAATGAATGGCCAGAAGTTCATGAAATTTTTTAAACAATATCTCTGGTGGGAAAAAGTTGTCAGATTTCTATATACCATAATAATATCATTCAACATGGAGTATAACAAACTGCCGTCTTCAGATAAAGGAAAGCTGAGAGAATTCATCACAGTTGAGATTGTAGATGTGGAGACAGAAGGCCTGAGCACATGTTCTCGGAGAGATTAGTTTCTCTGTTAAACTATGTTCTTCACTAGAAAATAGGAATAATAAAATTTGTGAACTTTATTAACAAAAGAGAATCTGTAATTAAAATATGAGAATGGAACCATACCAGGCAATATTAATGTCTCAGTAAACCTGATTTAAAGTATAGGGTCCATGATTTAAGGTAGATATTCCCTCAACAAGTAGTATGCAGTTAAACTGTAGAGTTGTACAAAAACAAAGTTCACACAATGAAATAGACCTTAGGAACTTAATAAGCCCAGGTTGATACAAAAGATGATTTTGTTGATACAAAATCATCATCCAGTGATGATTTATGTCATGCAATGGATTTTAGAATGTGTAGTTCTCTGTGTGTTCTTTTAATGTTCTTTTTAAAAACACAAGTCCATTTTTTTTAATGATACTTGAAAAACAGAGAGAGGCTGTGAGGATAAATAGAAGGTGAACAGAGTGAAAAGATAAGACCCCATTCCACCCACATCTCTCTATCTCTATTGCTCTCTAGAAGAAAAAAAAAACTGAAATATGTAAGAACAAGAAATTAAAAGCAATAACAGCATTGATATGGCATAGTATTTTTAAATTGCAAAACAAAATTAGCATCCTAATTTCCTTTTGGATGAATAACAAATCTGAGAGCCCTCTCTCATTTCCTCAGTTCCAGAGGTGGAGCCTCTGGTGGAACCAAAACCTATAGCCTGCAGGAAGAAATGCTTTCCTTATATTTGTGGTTTCACAAATTTATTTGATGCCAGCTGATCTAATATGTCTTCATAAATGAATGTGGGTTCTCAACTGAAATGCAGTAGATCTCCTGAGGAAACTTTCCCCTGACCAGGGTGAGGCATTAAGAAAAGCTATAGCAAATGGCATGAGTTTATCTTTTTTGATTGCTGAGTAATAATATTCCATGGTGTATATGTACCACATCTTCTTGATCCAGTCATCTATTTTGGGGACATTTGGGTTGCTTCCACAGCTTACCTATTGTAAATAGTGATAATAAAGCAAAAAACAAAATCAACAGGCAACTATTAACCACAGACACACTGCGGAGGCTGGTGGGATGAGGAAGTAGGATCAAAACAAGGATGGTAGGAATTTTATGGGGACTATAACCAAAATGAAAATGCATACATTGTACAAAAATGAAAATGATGTAAAAATATATTTAAAAAAAGAAAAGAAAAGCTGTAGCCCAGAGGATCCTCTTTAACTCCATCAAGAGATCACAAGAACCAAGTTATATACATTTAGGACCAAATCTTTCTTTTGTATCAACCTCTAAATAGTTTAAGAGTTCTTGTCAGCTTTTTATGCCACCTGGACCCTTGTCTAGGTATAGTCAGAGACTTAAAACCCCCACCCATTTACCTTCTGGCCTGATTGGTAATGCTGACATTTTTATCTTCACATTCAGTTATGATTTATGTCATACAATGGATTTTAGAATGTGTAGTTCTCTGTGTTCTTTTAACGTTCTTTTTAAAAACACAAGTCCATTTTTTTAGTGATACTTGAAAAACAGAGAGAGGCTGTGAGGATAAATAGAAGGTGAATAGAGTGAAAAGATAAGACCCCATTCCACCCACATCTCTCTATCTCTCCTTATTGCTCTCTAGAAGAAAAAAAAAAACTGAAATATGTAAGAACAAGAAATTAAAAGTAATAACAGCATTGATATGGCATAGTATTTTTAAATTGCAAAACAAATTTAGAGGGAAAATGGGTGATAAATATAATTTTAATGCATCATTAAAATAAAAAGGTTTGATGAAAGGACAGCAAAATGGATAGATTTTGAATGTTAAATATGGGGTGGAAGTTAACAAGACAAATGTACAGTCACAATGCTAAGATTAAAAAGTTAAAACCTGAGATAAATATAAGAGGAACTCATTAAAATAAATGAAAATCCAACTCAAAATGGTATAAGGTTTGAATATAATCTGAAACTACAAAACTCCCTAGAAGAAAACATAGGAAGTAAACTTCTTGACATTGGTCTTGGCAGTGATTTTCTTGGATTTAACATCTCAAGCAAAGACAGAGAAAGCAAAAATAAGCAAGTGGAACTACAGAAAAAAAAGTGCTTCTGCTCTGAAAAGACTGACAAAAAAATGCAAGGACTGTGGAGAAAAAGGAAGCTTCATGCAAATGTATTTTTTTGTTTTAATGGTACATTAAAACTATATAGAAAAGAGTCTAGAGTTTCCCTCAAAAAAAGAGAATTACCATATGATCCAGCAATAATCCCACTTCTGTATATGTTTAAAGGAAATCAAATAATTATCTCAAAAATAATCTATATTCCCATGTTCATTGCAATATTATTCACAATAACTAAGGTATGAAAATAACCTATGTGTCCATCAACAGATAAATAGTGAAGAAAATGCAGTATATACATATACAAGAAATAAAAATGGACCTTTGTTCAGGAACAAAGGAAGGAAGTCCTGCCATTTGCAACAACATGGATGAATGTGGATGACATTACATCAAGTGAAATAAGCCAGAGAAAGATGAATACTGCAGGGTATCATTTAAATGAGAAATTTTTTTTTAAGGGTTGAACCCATAGAAACTTAAGGTAGAAATAGAGGTGGTTGCCAGGTGACCTAGGTTTGGAGGATATAGTGAAAGTTACAAACTTTCAGCTATAAGATGAATAAAGTCTTACAACATAGTGAATGTAGTAGATAACCCTGTATAGTGTGATTGCTAAGAGATTAGAATTAAATGTTCTCCAAAAAATCAAAAAAGGTAAATATGTGAGGTAATGGATGTGATAATTGACTCAGTGGGGAGGGGGCAATCTTTTCATAATGTATCCATATATCAAATCATCACATTATACACTTTAAATATCTTAAATTATTAAGTAGTTTTTAAATAATAATAGAAATGACCAAGGAACATTAAGTTAAAAAGACAAATGGATAAGATTTTTTTTTTTAAGAAAAGGTAAAACTTAAAGACTTGAGAGAAAGGATATAAAAAAATAGCAAACTATCAGAGCTGGGCTAGGCAGAGCTCAAACAATATAGCAAAGATGTGACTTGTAGTGGTAAATTCCAAGCTGAGTTAATAGCTGTCTTATATAGGCCTGTGATTTGCAATCTGATCTGTTCATTTGAATCTCCCAGGGAGCTTCCTGAAGCTCAGGCCTTAACCCTAAAACTGTTATCTAATCCCGCATGTCTGGGAGAAGAAGCTAGGTATCCGTAGTTTTTAAACATACCCTGGTAATTCCAATATATAGACAAGGTTGAGAATTAATGCTCTACATGAAATAAAAGCCAAGGATGCAGAGAACATTGACAGTTCTTCCTAAGGCAATGGAATTTTCCACCCGGATTACCCTTTTGCTTCACTTTGTAAGTCAGGGCTCAAGACAACCAAAGCCAAACAAACCTAGAACTGATTCTCCAAGTTAAACAGACAACTTGCTTCAGGGATCTTTCTTTATTGGGTCCTCTCTCCCTTCTGTCAATTTTATCTCTTTTGCCAGAAATTCAGCTTTCTCAACCCACAAAAATGAGTCAGGGAAATCACCAGTATCAGAATTCCAGAATGATTTCCTAGTGTATTCCTAGGTATTTGAGGTCTACAGTGGCAGATGTTTTAGAATCTCCAGTATGATTTAAAAGAATATAATGTAGGTTTGGGGAAAGTAGTCAAACTTAGCTTTATGCTGCTATAAGTAAAATTGTGAATACAGATTTAGAAAAACCCAGGAAGAAATGCGTCACCAATAGAATAATAAAATACCTGTGAAGAAATAATTCTTAATATTTGTATGGTGAAAGACAGTAGCCAGCAATTCTTTACCCAAATGCAGGCAGCTCTGTTTGAAATGTGTATGATATTTTCTAAAAGGTAAGCATTTAGTGCCACAGCACTGCAGCAGCCTGGTGGTTCACTTTAGCTCCAAGCTGTGTTTCTCAAAGGGTGGTCTGAGCATTACTTTGCATCAGAATCAGCTAAAGTGCTTGTTAAAAATCCATATTCTTAAATTATTCCTGGGTTTCAATCCAAATGAACAAATCAGAATTTCTGAGCCTGCTACCCAGGATTCTGCTTCCTTAAATATGACTGCAGAACTGGGACTGAGAGAGGGGGAAGGAAGTAGAAACAAAGGGGAGAGAGGGCCTCTCTCCTCTAGTGGTGCAAGGGGTTAAGCACCGCACCGCGCTATGAAGCTATCATAGCCTCTGCAGCAGGAGTTTGATCCCTGGCCAAGGAGCAACCCACATGGCACAGCAGACCTCTCCTGACTCGCCCACTGCTCCCCTCAGCAGTGTATTTCAGTCTATCTGCTGTTCTGTTCCCCACTCTGTCTCTGGTGAACCCTCTCACCCCACCCCCACACACCTCTGGCCTATACCCCAGCTCTTGTATGCATAAATAAATAAATCTTTAAAAAAAAAAAAAAGCAGGTAGAGAGGACCCAATGGTATAGGGTACAGGGATGTGGATGCTCCAGTGGATGGGGTGTGGTGATATACATCTGAGGAGGTGTAGCCTGTTCCCCTGATTCATACACAGTGCTATAAATCAATGTTATCTTTATAAAAAAAAAAAAAGTCTCACACCACCCCGAACAATTGTTTCATTTACTGAAAACTGAGAAGTCATTATTATCAGGTGCAGCATGGATCAGGAAAGTCATGAGCCTACTCCGCAGACACAGGAACCAGTGATTGTGTCCCACTCAAAAAAAAAAACACTCCACTGATACATAATAACATTTTCTAAAAGTTGATTAGTGACTTAGCAATGTTTGCCCTTTCTCATTTAAGAAACAAAATAACATTTAAATAACCTTAGAAACTTTACTATTTTTTTTCAAGTAGTCTTAACCTGAATTTCATGTGTCTTATGTGTGGGGTGAACACTGGCCCTCCTATTGCAGCCTAGTAAAGGGGGAACATTCAAGTGTTGGATACTGTTATTTATTTAATCTCTTAATTGAGGTAACATTGGTTTACAACACCACATGATTCAGAAGTATAGGATCACACCCCTCAGATGTATAGAAAATAGTATTCAAATGACAAATCCAGCAATTATAGTCCTGATCTGTCAATTCACCTGGCAGCTATAGGAATGAGTAGATAGTTGGAAGTGGAGCAGGGCAGGATAGAAATGGCCCTATAGGGAGGAAAATATTGGGGATTTCTGTCAGTTGGAAATTTTTATCAGACATAGAATCCTGAACTTCTGAAAGGCAATGTGAAAAACAGACTTGTCACAATCTAAGAGGTGAAAAAAAAGGGACAATGATGCCATGACAACCAGAGTGTAGATATCAGTTGCTTACGCCAAAATCTTTGGGGTCATTCTTGACTCCTCTCTTTTACTCCCACAACCAACGTCTCAGTAAATTCTTATGGCTCTACCTTCAATATTTGTATGACCATTTTGCCTCCACACTTACCTCCTGGTCCAAACTACTATTTCTTGCCTGTGTTACTGGAATGGCTCCTAGCAGATGTCCTTTGAGCTGCCCCTCCCCATCTCTCCAACCCCCATCTCCACCCCTGCCCATTAACTGATTCTCTACACAGCCCAGAGCAGTAAGCATTAACCCTTAAGTCAGGACATCTCTCCTGCTCAAAGCCCTAAAGCAATGCTGCAGTTCATGCCAAGCAAAAGCAGGTCTTCTTGCCCTACCCTTTGACTCCTCCACTCTAATCACTTAGGCCTCCTTTACAGTTCCTGGAACCCTGCCTGGAATGCTTCACCACCACCCGCCCACCCCAACATGTGCTTAGCTAATTTCATCCCCTCCTTTTAGCTTTTTTCAAATCTCAATCTCTCTCTCTCTCTTTCTCTCTCTCTGGCTATTGGTAATTGACCTCTTTAAAAGTGCAAACAACCTCTCCCCACACCCTCCAAGGCTCCTTCCTCTGATCTTGTTTTTTTTGTGATGCTTTCCACCTTACACCATAGTATCCATATGTATGTACATATGCCATATGTCATTTAGTAATTTGTTCAGTTTCTCTTTTATTTTGTTTCTCTAGTGCCACATAGGACTGCAAGCTGCAAGAATCTTATCTGTTAGGTTCACTACTAAATCCTAAGCCCCCTGTATGTACCATAGGCACAGTGCCTGGTACAATACAGGTGCTCAATAAACATTTCTTGCGTGAATTAAGAAAATATTCTCAAAGTAGACCTGATCTTGACAAAGTATAAGGGACAATTAGGAAGAATTATAATGAACTAAATAAAGCAGGTTAACTATAATAAAAATCAGATCAAAGATAGGTAAAAAAGAATGATGTGAGCCAGAAAATTTGAATAGGCCTGGGGCCAAGAAACTCATTATAACAAGGCTCTATTTGCAGGTGATACATAATTTTGAGGTTCTAGTTCAAGGCCATCCATAAGTTATG